CTGCATCCACTCCAAGTCTGTATTCAGTATGCCTTCTGAAGTGTGGACTGTACTCATCAGCCACCCACCTGCCTATCTGCTGTATAGTTCTCTCTCTCTCTGCAGAGCCAATTGGTCTTGTGTCTTTTTCCCAGTACCTCACACAAAGTTTAATGAATATTTGCTGAAAGGACTAGTAATGGTGATCTACACTGAGAGGCTAAAATTATCAAGATGAAATTTGACAAGGATAAAGTCCTCCCCTTGGATATTCTCCAAGAAATAAACAAGCACAAGATAGTGAATAGTTATCTTACTCGTAGCTTGCATAAAAAAGGTTTTTAGACAAGAATAAACTCACCTTAAAACAGTATATCACTGCTTTACTCTTTCCCATCCAAAATGTGATCTTCATTTGGTGAAATGTAAATATCTAACACCTAAAACAAAGAAAGTGAGTCTTTCTGGAGCTAACCAGACCATACCTTGTTACTATATTAAAGTCCTGAGTGGTACATTTCCAGTAGGAAGCCAACAAACAAGAATTTGTTCAAAGGAGAACCACTAAGATTATGAAGGGTCTAAAAATTTTACCAGAGTCATTCAGTTTCTCATTCATTTAAATATATATTTTCCAGGCAGTATACTGGGTGCAGGGAATAGAGCAGTGAAAAACAGTATCTAGGAACAATCAAAGGAAATAAAGATAATTTTGGAAATAAGAAATGGTCACCCGAATGAAAATAAGTAAAGACTGTTTTGTTGCAGAGCTTTCTATAACAAGGGAATCACCCACTAATCACTTGCGTTTGCCAGAGAATACAATACAGGCTGGCAAGTGGGAGAGCTTTACATAGACTGGTAAAAAGGAAAGGCTTCAGATCTGCTCTGATTGAAGGCCCTTGGCATAGGAAAACAAGCTGGATCACTAGAAGTAAGCTGTCCTGTGTAAATGGTTTGGGGAATATATTTGGCCTTCTCTATTTCATTCCATGTTGGAAGTGAGAGCAAAAACCAGGGAAGTTGATAGTCAGTGGCTGGATCCTGACCATTCTGAGATGATGGCTGCAAACTTTGTGGCTTGGGTCTTTGGGCTGGTTGTCCCAGTTCCAAGTTGCAATTTAGAGTATACAATCATAGGGTCTGGCCATAATTCATTTGTATATTCAGTCCCTAATACTGAACATTAAAAACTGTATTCAGCACATAATGGACTGTATTTAAATATTTAAGGTCTATTATGCTGAAAAGTTCTGAGCAATCTCAGTATATTGAATTGGGACCAGTGGGTGGAACAACTCTTGAATTTAAAAAAGAAATTTTATAAAACTCATTGCTATCTAGATATAATCTCAGACTGTGATTACCTGTTAAAGAGATAATTCAGATCAAGGCTGAGTGACCTCTTTGCAATGATGTTACAAAACAGATCCTGTACTTTCCCATTTGTCAGAATAACATATCTTTATTACCAATGCAGAATCTTGGCTTTTGTCCTAGTCTTGCTAGTCAGATCAGTGGCACATTATGATTCTCTTATGAAATATTTGTGTAAGGAATTCACACAGTGTACAGGCAGTTGTATTAGATGGCTTGTAAGGTGCCCCTCACTCTGAGAGTCCAGTATTCTAACTTTTGCATACTGTAGTCAAAACCAGGAAAAAAATCATTCATTCACTTATTGGATAATAATAATTGGGTAAATAAGTAGATTACATTATGTCCAAGCTCTACTTTATAGAGTGTATTTTGATTCCATTCCTACATGCCAAGGAGGTAGTAATGAAATGAACTCATTTGTTCATTCTTTAAAGATGCATTGAGCATCTGTTGAACCTACCTATAACACTGCACTAGGCTCTTAATGAATAAGACTGATAAAGTCCCTTTTTTTAGTCCTTTTTATATTAGCAAAACAACAACATAGAGAGCTATATATGTTAAGCAAAAGAAAAAAAATGGTATGAAAACACCAGGCCGTACTTCTGTTCTTTTTCCCTCCATTTTATAACTGATTAAAAACCAATCAATTGGGCTGTTCCAAGTTTTAGCTATTATAAACTGTGCTTCTTTGAACATGGGTATACGTATATCATATATCACTGTGCTATGATTCTTTTAATTATTTTGGGAAGATAGTAGGGAAATAGTTGGGTCAAATAGGATCTCTAATCCTAGTTTTTTGAGCTATCTCATACTGATTTCCACAGTGGTTGCACCAGTCTACACTCCCACCAGCAGTGGAGCAGGGTTCTTTTTTCCCCACAACCTGGCCAGCATTTGTTATTGGTTGATTTCTTCACATCAGTCAGTCATTCTTGGGTGAGGTGGAATCTCAACATTGTTTTCATCTGTATCTCTCAAATGACCAGTAGTATGGAACATTTTTCATATGTTTATTTGCTATTTCTGCTTCTTTGTCTGAGAAATGTGTGTTCATTTCAGATGCCCATTTTTGGACTGGGTCTTTAAATTTGGAAGGTCTGATTTTTTTAAGTTCTTCATATATTCTAGATAATAGACCCTTGTCTGAGGAACAGCTGGTGAAAATGTTTTCTCACATCTTATTTTTTAATAAGATGAGATCCCACAGGTTGATTCTTTGTGCTAGTTCATGTGCAACTGAGGTTTTGTTCACAAAATCTTTTCCTATACCAGTGTCTTCAAAAGTTCTGCCTAATTTATCTTCCAGAAAGTGTAGTGTTTCTGTTCTAATATTTAGATCTTTAATCCATTTTGATTTTAATTTGGTGCTTGGTGAGAGATATAGGTCTAATTTTAATCTTTGGCAAGTTAAAACCCAGTTTTTCCAGCACCATTTATTAAAAAGGCTATCTTTCCTCCAGTGAGGGTGTTTGGCTCCTTTGTCAAAGATGAAGTGGCTGAGTGTGTCTGGAGTTGTTTGTGCATCTTCTAATCAGGTCTGTTTCTTTTCCAGTACCATGCTGTTTTTATCACAGTAGCTTTGTAGTATAGGGATTGTGTTATCCCCTACTTAGTCTTTGTTGCCTTGACAGCCCAATTGCCCATCAACTGGAGACTGGATAAAGAAACTGTGTGGGTTTTTTTTTTTTTTTTTGTAAAATGTAGTACTACTCAGCCATAAAGAATGATAAATTAGAGACATTTATAGCTGAGTGGATGCACGTTGAGGCAATAATCTTAAGTGAAATAAATAGGACACACATATAAATACTGAATAGTTTATCTGGTGTGAGAAACTGAAAGTGTAATAAGGATCAAAAGGCATAACAGATATTGTGAAAAAGGAAGAAAAGGTCCTAGGGGGAAGAGGACGTAGGAGGGATTGGGGAAAGAAAAGAAGGGAATGTAATTAATATGAGAAAATGAAAAAATGGAGACAAAGTCTTTGTAAATAGGGAGCCTGGAGAGGTTGAAGGGAGGGGAGGGGAACGGGGAAAATGTAAGAGCCAAGATATATTATGTAAAAGTACAAATCTTCAATGATGAATGTCATTATATTGTATACCTAAAAGGTGTCAATAAAATTAATTTTAAAAAGAAGAGAGTAAATATTAATTAAGATTTTTATAAAAGAATTAGTATACTTCCTTTCCTCAGATCCGTTTTAGGTTTTAAGTAAAAATTGTGCCTTAGGATTACTATAAGAAAACTTCAAAAGTGGTACATTGTACTTAAAACCTCTCTGATGCAAAACTGGTTAGTGTTTTTTTGTTTAGTTTTGTTTTTTTGTTTTGTTTTGGTGGGGTACCAGGGACTGAACTCGGGTCTTTGAGCTTGCAAGGCAGGCCACCGAACTACTGAGCTAAATCCCTGGCCCTGGGCTAGTGCATTTCTAACAAACCAAGGACAGTCCTTGGTCAGGTTGATGATGCTGGGTATTTTAGAAAGTGATTCTTTAAATTCTGAATTTTGGGGGTTTTAATACTTGTTTGTAGCCTTACTGCCATGAAGCAAATTTGTGCTGTATTTTTCAATCAACGTAACACCCTGTCTTTTACTCAGCGGTATACAGGAAGGCACGTAAAATGGGGAACAGCTGCCTAGGATCTAGCTCTTCTGCTAATCAGTTGTGTGACCTTGAACCTCTGTGGACCGCAATCTTTTCAAAATGCTAAATTATCCTTAATTAGCCCTGAAATCCTAATGTGGTTAAAACTAAATGAAGGAAATGTTATCATTTTGCACCTGCTTCTTCCTTTTGCCCTCCTCCCTGCTACACAAATATATTAGAAGCCTAATCATCACCATTGAAATGAATTCTGAAATAACTTGCTTACCTAATCTGGACATTTGTGTGTCCTTTAGGCTTAAATCTGAGGCTTCAGTAGCCACATACTGTGCCATCTCCCTGTGGAACATTTCAGCTTCTCTAAAGGAAGACCCTGTATTGGGAACACCTAGACATCTGTCCTCTCACCACTGTTCAGTCTCTATAATCCTATTACCAAGAATCTTGTTTCAAACTCAGAGGACCTTCCTAGGCCCAAGATGTTACCATGTGCATGACTAATAGTATTCCCTTTGTATAAAGATTTATTTTATGCTGTACTCATCTGTCAGATCAAGTTCCTTCCAAACAGACACCATGCCAAGTTCCCCTCTGAGGACAACAGTTAGTACTCCTGAATGTCCTACCCCTCCTATTCTTGCTCGTATATCCCTGACCAGCATTAAGATGTCCCAGTTTGCCTTTGTCAAACCTTTTCAAGTCAGAAGAGACACAGGTACATTATATTTACTTGTAGGAGCACTGTGACCTAATCTGAATCTTACCATTTTCCATAGTTAGCATATTCCATAGAATTAACCCCCTCTTTAAAAAAGTCATTTTTAAAAATTAAGGGTATGTAACTGTTAGCTCTGAAATTAGCTTTTGGTTTTAATTTAAAACTTAACCTTTAGCTTTGGATTTCTTCCTATTTAAATAATTGAACAATTTAAGGAAATAATAAAGCTGTGCAGAGCAATATAATCATTTTTCTTGTCCTTACTCTTCACTCTTTTACAAATGCATTTTACTTTTCTACATTTTTCAGAGCTTCTCCTTGTGAGGCTGAGCTTCAGGAATTAATGGAACAAATCGACATCATGGTAAACAATAAAAAATTGGACTGGGAAAGAAAGATGAGGGCTTTGGAGACACGATTAGATCTTCGAGATCAAGAGCTGGCAAATGCACAAACTTGTTTGGATCAGAAAGGTCAAGAGGTATTGAATACATGTGTTAAAAACTGCTAATCATCAGCCTCTTACAAATAGTATTTATTCTCTCATATATTTTTCATTATAGATGCTTTTTCTCAGGCAGTAGCAACAACATTTATTGTATAGTATGCTAAATGTATTCAATGAATAAGAAGTGCAGGGATTAAGTCCATAGATATTTACTGGTGAAGACAGATTTAGCATGTCAATGCCATCTCTAAAAATAAATTCTTAATATATATGTGAAATAAATATTGTCTGCAAGAAAAGATAGGAATGCTTTTGCTGCTATAGAAACAAAAGAGTGGTCATCAAAATTGTACCTTTGTACAAGACAGCGTACAGGAGCATTTGCTTCTTTTAATGTTAGAAAAATGTTTCTTGACAATGAGATGTCAAAAAGAGAATAGTTTGGCCAAAGTGTTTTGTGTGTGTGTGTGTGAGACACCCACCAAGGAGGTGTTCTCTCAGCCCGTGAGGGTGGCTCACTGCCAGAATGTGTGCTCTCAGGCCTGAGAAGTTCAGGACAACCATCTGCCTTATTTAATATGGACTTTTGTGTTTCTGTATATTTCTTTCTTTTTTTGTTGTTTTTGTTTGTTTGTTTGTTTTTCCTTTGGTATGGGGGATCAACCTCGGGTCCTTGCACTGTTGCAGAAGGAATTGGTAAATGACACATACAGAAAGCAGAATGGAAGTAAAATAATAAAAAGTTTATTTTTCCAGTGAAAGTTGATCACCCTCAAAAAAGCAGAGCCAGTGATCAACCTCCTATTGGGTTGCAGCTTCTTCTTTTATAGGTTTTTCAGCTATAATCTCATTCAGGGGATTACATTTCATTTCCATAGTTCACATTACCCATGTACAAATTACAGTACAAGACAGTTAACTTTAACTGACGTAACAATTCCTTGTAATTAGGGAGTTTACCTTAAGATTCATCTAGCTAGCTATTCTAGTGCACAGGAAGTGGGTGTTTAAGGTCAGGGATGAGGCCAGATGTCCCACTTCATGGTCAATTCCTCCAGTGTTTGTCAATTTTGAACTAAACAAAGCAGATTGCTGTTAGAGAAGTCATTTTACATTTTCCTAATATTTTGTAGGTTTTTAAATTACTTACAAAAGTTCTCTGTATCAGTAATTGTGAGGCAGGCGGCAGCACCACTGAGCTAAATCTCCAGCCCTAGATATTTCATTTTGGTAATAGATAAGATAAACTTTGTTAATTATATTCTTGAAAAATCATCAATTAACTTATCATCAGCCATTTTGTTAACCTGTACTAGTTTTTCAATGGAACTTGGTTTTGTGCATAGTTACATATGTTATTGTTTGAGATGGTTAATTTAGCTATTGATATCAAATTTCCCTTTACAATAAGATGCAGTTGATCAGTCTTGGCATATTCAAGGGATTATTCTTTCTCTTTTGCATCTGTAATGTTACAGATATGTAAACAAGAGTCTTAACTATATTTTAAGCAGGCTAACTCAGTAAGCCAAGTTCTTAACATTTCTTAGATATTCATCTTTTTAAAATGTTAGTTCCTATTAAAAAAATGCAACAATTACTCATGGTATGTCTTAGTTTCCCTGGAAGGCAGTGAAAAGAGTGGGAGGGAGGAGGGGAATAAAGGGGAGTTGAGAGGGAGAGGAGAGAGAGGAGAGAGGGAGAGAGGGAGAGAGGGAGAGAGAAGGGAGAAGGGAGAGAAAGGCAGAAAGAGACATATAGAATTGAATTATGCTAGGAGAGGTTTTACCTGAGTAACAATGACATAGCCTCTCAAAACAGTAATGCAAAGTAAATTCTAAATATTTGTTTAAAATGTGATAGTCATAAGAATTTTTTTGTGAAAGATTTATACCATACTGTATTAATATGTAGCTAGTGGGATACTATTAGCAGTGTTTGTTTTTTGCGAATTTAATTATTAATAGCAATTTTAAGACCTCTAGCATAAATATTTATTCTTGGATTGGGACTGCAGTTTTGTTTGAATTGTGCTTCTCTTTTGCACATTTTCTGGTTTTGTCAGGCAAAATTTCAAAAAAGAAAAATTAACTTTTATTCTTAATGCAGGTAGGGTTACTTCGACAGAAGTTGGACAGTCTGGAAAAATGTAATTTAGCAATGACTCAGAATTATGAAGGACAACTACAAACTCTAAAAGCTCAAGTAAGGAAATTTATTACAATTATATTACACATTTTGATATATGCTTTTGACTTATAGAACTGTGTTAACTTTATTAAAACCAATTTGTTGTTGTTTGTGGTACAGGGAATTGAATCCACTGCCTTCACACTGAGCTATGTCTTTAGCCCTTTAGATAGGGTCTCATTAAATTGACCATATTGGGCTTCAATTTTCAATCCTGATCCTCCTGCTTCAGCCTCTCAGAGTCATGGAATTAGAGAAGTGCGCCACCACACCCAGTAAAAGCAAATGTTTTTAGTACAAGCCAAGGTTCTTATATTTTAATTACACATTTAGCCTGTCTTTCATTTGTTTATACTGACTTGGTTTCACTTAGTAGATTGTCAGCTCTCTATACCGTCTTCCCTCTTTTGCCATTAGCACAGTACTAAACAAATAGTTTCCAATTCTTCCAGACACTTGTGGACTGATTAAATTATAATAATTAATTATGTGAATAACAGTAAAACTAGAATTATTTTTATTGATTATTACTATCTAACATGGATAGCCTTTTTTCTATGACAATTTAAAATATGGAAGTCTGCTATTATGAAATAAATCATTGAAAGAATAAAACTGGTTTCACTATCTTGTTACCGGTGGGGCTTTATCATAAATCATAGTGCTTCTGCAGATTTCATGAGAGGGTAGCTGATTTCTTTCTTACTCATCATAGCCTACTGTGTTGGCAAGCAAAAAGTTTTTTCTCCCTCACCACAAATACCCCTAGGGTAGTAAAAGTCAGAGCTCAGAACTAGGTGATGCTATACCCTTGCTTAACCAAGTAAATGAATCAATAGGAAATAGCTTTATTATTAAAGTTCACCTTATAATCAACTTGCTTGGTGTGCGAAGGTTTACAGATGATAATATAGTTAAAAGAGCCCAAAATAGTTAGTGATCCTTCGTAAGTATCTTTTTAGGAGCAGAGTCAGTCATTAAAACTGAAATCTTCTGATGTCATTTAACAAGTCTCATCTTACCTATTACCTTAACAGGTAAGACTAGAAAATGAGTTTAGCCCACCTAAGCATTTTGCCTGCAATTCAAGTAATTGGGACTAGGTGGTAGCTTGGATTATGAAATTAAAATATTTTTTCCTAGGTGAGACTCCAAACATGTAAAATTTAAATCAATAAGTCTAGTTTTTTCTATAATGGTCTAAAACAAAACCAACATAAATATAAAATCACTGCAATTGTTACACATTCATATACTTACTTGTGACTTGTGCTGGCATATTTATAAAACAACATAAGACCATCCTGGGAAGTAAAGAGAAGATATTTCTTAGATTGGTTAGGAACCTTTGAAGAGCACAGTAGTGAGTTCCCTGGGATTTCTTTTTGCCTCACATACTGAGTAACAGAGAAACTACAAATCTAGATTTACAAATAAAAGAGGCCTAAAGAAATCTTGTCTCCATTTTATAAAATAGAGTAGTAATCAACCATAAAAACAAGAAACTAGAGACATTTATAGCTAAGTGGATGCATGCTGAGGCCATACTCTTAAGTGAAATTAATAGGACATGTGTAAATACCTAATCTTTTCTCTGGTGTGAAAAACTAAAAGTGTAAATAAGGATCAAAATGTATAATTGATATTGTGTAATAGGAAGATAAGGTCTAAAAGTGTAGGGAAAGTGAGAGGGGTAGGGGAAAGGTTAGAAGGGAAAAGAAAAAATGTGATAAAAGGAAAAAATGGAAATAGTCTTTGTAAATAGGGAAGGGTGGAGGGGGTGAAGGGAAGGCAAGGGAATGGGGAAAAAATAAGATACGTCATGTAAAGGTACAAGATCCTAATGATGAATGTAACTTTATTGTATACCTAAAATGTACCAATAAACCTAATGAGGAAAATATTGAAGCAGATAATATCAATCAAGATTGGTAATTTTAAAAAAAGAAAGAAAGAAAGAAATCTTGTCACCAGCCATAAGATCGGGCAGGAGGCAAACTAATAATATCGAACACTTTCAGATAATAACTCCTCCAACCAATACCACAGGCTGGGGGGAAGTCTGGCCACTTCCTACTAACAAATGCTGAGCAGAAACCTAGATTTCTGCCCTTTCCAAATTATAACAAAGTAGCTCAGGCCCCCTATTTGTGTGCTGTCAGAGAAGACTGAGTGGAGAGTCAGGATTTTTGTCCTACCAGACATTAACAAAGCTTCCCCCAGCTGAAGTTTATCAGTGGAAACCATGTATATCACTGGATTTTCCCACCTATTTATGGGCATGAGGTGAAGGGGTTGGGGAAAAAAGAAGAATCAAGATATATCATGTATAGGTACAAATTCCCTTTGATTAATGCTATCATTAAGCATATCTAAAATGTACCAATAAAATTAATTTTTAAAGGTAGAAAATTAACAGTTCTCACAGCTTGTCATTTTTTAGACTATAGTTGATGCTATTGTTATTACTGGTTGTATTACTTTAGCCAAAGTAACATAGTTGTTGTGATCTGTTGTTCTTCCTTGATTGCCAATAATAAGATTGTCTGGGGGTCATAAACAACATCTTAGGCCAGTACCAGAGAAATTGGTGCTAGGAAAAACAGGCAGCAACCTCTCAACCCCAATAAACTGAAAAGGCAGGATATTGGGACAAACTCAAAAGCCAAAATCCAGTTATGCCTAGAAGACACCTCTGAAAAGTAGTTGTTTCCTATGGAAATATCAATACTAATAATAAAGCTACCTACCATAAGCAATTTACAAGTACCAGTGCATAAAACAAACTTTTAAAAAAATGAAAAAACAAAAACACACAACTTCAGACCTCCAGCTCACCCAAGGCAAATCCAGGAGGCATTGAGATGAAAGAAATCAAAATTCACCCACTTGAAATCTCTGAAGGGGTAGCAGTAGAAGTAATAAAGAAGATGATTGAGAGTCTAGGAAAAAACGAATCAAAAATAATTACACAGATACCTAAAGAAATGATGTCCATGATAAAAGACATGGTAAATGAATCCAGAGTAGATACAGATAAAACAAAAATAGAAGAGCTTAGGGAAGTGATAAAAACCATGAATGCTCAACATAGAAAAGAAATGAATTCCATAAAACAGATTCAAACAGATATCCAGGAGATAAAAATTCTATTGAAAATATACCCAACAAAATCAATCAATATGAAAACAGAGTATCAGATCTAGAAGACAGGTTTGTGATTAGAGATCATCAAATGAGAAACTTGAGCAAGGGTCTGTGAAAAAAATCAATCCAACAACTGCTAGATAATACAAAGAAGAAGAATATAAGATGAATTAGAATCAATGAAAAAGCAGAGGATAGCACAAAGGACATAAAAAAAAAACTGTTCACAGAAATAATAGAATAAAATTTCCCGAGTATACAATAAGAATTTGACACACAGATAAGTGAGGCATACAGAGCCTCACAATTAGTCATAATCAGAAAAAAAAAGAACTATGCCAAGGCATATAATAGTCAAGATTCCAAAAAGTCAACACAAGAACAAAATATTTTTTTAATTGAGTTTATTGGTACATTTTAGGGATACAGTACAGTTACATTCATTATTGGGATCTGGTACCTTTATATGACAGGTCTTGGTTCTCATTTTTTCCCCTTGTCTCTGAGAACAAAATATTAACAGCTGTTAAAGAAAAGAAACAAATTACCAATAACGAAAAACCCATCAGAATCACAGCAGACTTCTAAACAAAAACCTTGAAGTCAAGGACACCTTGGGACAAAGTATTTCAAATCCTGAAAGAAAGCAACTTCCAACTCAGATTGATGTACCCTGCAAAATTATCTTTCAAAATTGATGAAGAAATAAGATACTTTCATGTTAAAGAATACATGAAGAAATTTATGACCACCACATGAGCCCACCAAAAAGTGTTGAAGAATATTTTAGAAAAAGAAAACAAAGACAACAATTCCATGAATCCTAAAAGAATGAATCTGCCAGGCAAGGCAAGCAATCAAACAGAAGGGAAAGGGAACCAGCAATAGGAAAATAGCATGAAAAGGATGTCAATATATATCAATTAAAGCATCAATGTAAATAGCCTCAATTCACCAATCAAAAGAAACAGATTGGCAGAATAGATCAAGAAAGAAGATACAATAATACATTGCATTCAAGAAACACATTTAATTCAAAAAGAACTTCATAGACTCTCCAGTATCCACACCCCTTCAACCTGGCAACACAGAGGAGCCCAGCCATGCAGGCACCAATACAGAGGTGTTCATGCCCCCTGCTACCCCTGGAATAAGAAAAAGAAGGCCTCTCTAAGGCTCCTGTGATAAAGGCACACCACACCACTATAGTGGTAAGTTGGAGGGACCAGCACCTCACATCAGAACCTGGTCTAACTTCAGGGGAAAGACAGCTGGAACCTGCAGTAGAGCCTTGCAGAGTTCAACCCAGAAGGAGGACAGAGATCTCAACTAGGGCCTTGCAGACAGAAATCAGCCTGAACCTCAGGGGACAGATGCTGGCTTGATGAAACTAAATAGCTTAGAACTACACACTCCAGCCCATGCTGTGTATTGTATCAACAAAGGCACACTCTGAAGGAGGCCCTCTATTTTTATTTGTATTTTTTAACCTTCAAAGTAATGTTTCACTTATCTTTAGTCATTTAAAATATCTTTAGCTATCTTTTTCTCTTCTCAAATTTTTTTCATTTTTAAATTTTTCTACTTTCTCTCTCTCTCTTTCTCCACCGTGATCTCTATTACTTTCCCCTATTTCCTGTTCCTATTCAAATTTGAATTTATTTTCTTTCTTTTCCCTTTCTTCTCTTTTTCCTTCTCTCAATTGCCATTAGTTTTAAAAAACTAAACAAAATAAAAAACATAAAAAAGCAAGCAAAAAAAAAAGTGATTACAGTCTCTAGCCTCCCTATTGCTGTTAGTTTCTTCTGCTCTTGGGTATATTTTGTTCTGTCCTCTCCTCTTCTCCACAACAACTCTCTAGAATTTCT